GTGCAGTTGTAACAATTGGTCTGCAGACTTCTCGGACTCTTTGGGGCCTGCACGCTGTGCTCAATTGTGGATTCGTTAGAGATGTAAATAAATAAATAAATAAAAAGGCCTTTATTTACAAGCGAGTTTCATATACATGATTTTCAAACTTACTCAAGTCAAACTAAAACTAAACTAACCTAATATATACAGAAATTTAATATACAAAAAACTACAAAGAAAAAACATTTACAATTTACATTTGTTTTTACTTTCTCCCCCTATACCATAGTATATGGAGAAAGTATTGTTTTCGTCAAAATTTTCGAGTTGGAGTTTTGAGTGGATATATTCGTTTTGGGTCCCCCTGGACCCAAAAAAGTGGTTTTCGAAGTGATGTCTGTGTGTGTGTGTGTGTGTCTGTGTGTGTGTCTGTGTGTCTGGATGTGTACAGAGCTAGAGACCACACCTGTGGTCCGATTTCGATGAAATTTGGTATGTAGGTTCTAATCTATGGTATCTCCAGGCGTTTTTTTCATTTTTTTGAAATTTTGAGTTTTAATGGGGATCATCCCATAAAAACCCATAAAAAACCGGAAAAATCGGATTTTCTCATAAATGGCCCGAACGATTTTGATAAAAATTTAGTATGTTGTAGCCCCTTAAATTCTGAATAAAATGGCACAAACCCCATATCTGTAAAAATTACGGTTCAAAAGTTATGGTCAAATATGTTATTTTCCCATTAAAACCCCCATAAAATAACGAAAAAAAGGATTTTAGAAAAAAATCCGGTTTTGATTTAACATAGTATGTTATAGTCCTTACAGTTTTGATAGTTTTTTATTATTTTTCAGAATTTTTTATTTTTAATGGGGATTTTCCCATAAAACCCCATAAAATAACGGAAAAATATGATTTTCCCAAAAATGGCCGGAACGATTTTGATACAAATTTGGTATGTTATAGTCCTTTATATTCTGAACAAAATGGTACCAATCCCATTTCTGTAAAAATTACGGTTCAACAGTTATTGTAAATTATGTCATTTTCCCATAAACCCCCATAAAATAACAGAAAAATCGGATTTTCCCAAAAATAGCCCGAACGATTTTAAAAATAAGGCATGTTATAGTCCTTTAAATTCTAAAAAACTGTACAAATCCCATTTGCGTATATTTACTCTCACCACTTACACATGATAAAGGTTGATGACAAACTTATGGGAGAAAGTATGTGTCAGAATGCTGATACCGTTTATTATGCATTGCGGCCCTGAATGAGCCATACGATTTGGAGCTCTTTATGTCCTGAGGGAGGCCATTATACAACTGCGGGCCAAAATAAGAAAATGACTTTCTTCCAACCTCAAGCCTCACTTTAGGAAAGTGAAGCCTGCAGTCGGAACGAGTACCACGCAGGCAGATCTCCCCCCTGTACTTAAGCCTCTCGCTGAGGTACTGAGGCTCTCCCAGCGTGAGCACTTTGTGGACCAGGCAGCAGGTCAGCCTCCTGCATATTTCATCCATTGGGATGAGCTTTGCAGCATCTCGGAAGGAGGACACGTGGTCAAAGCGGTTAAGGCCAAAAATGAACCTTACTGCAGAATTTTGAATTCTTTGAACTCTTGCCATATCCTCCTTAGAGATGCTGTTTCCATATGCAGGAAAGCAATATGTAAAGGCTGGGAGGACCAAGGACCGCATGAGATGCATTTTGGCATATTCTGGCAGTAGAGTTTTAAATCTGCTAAGACCTCTCAGTCTACCCACTGCACGTTGAACTGCAGATGTGACATGGTCAGAAAAAGAGAGGTCTTTGTCAAGTACAACACCAAGTGTGTTGACAGTGTCGCAAACAGACAATCTCATGCCATCAAGGGTGATTTCTATAGCAGATTTACTCAATTCCTGCATCATAATGTTTGGTCCAGTATGCATGACTACACACTTGTCAACATTCAATCCAAGGCCATTCATGACAGACCATTGAAAAATGCTGTGCAAATCAGCATTGATGAGCCGGATTGCTTCTGATGTCTTGTCTGGCTTGTATGACAAGTGTAGTTGGCAGTCATCAGCATACAAGTGTGCCGTACAATATTCTACACTTCTGGACAAGTCAGACGTGTACAAATTGAACAGCACAGGTCCTAAACAACTACCTTGAGGAACACCACGCAATTTGCAAAGCGGATCTGATGTCTCACTCCCAATTTTGGTAACCTGCAGTCGGGACTCCAAATAGGACTGAAACCAACAAACAACTTTTTCACTACAGCCATAGCACTTCATTTTGGCCAATAACAATTCATGATCAATAGAGTCAAATGCTTGGGAATAATCTAGAATAGCTAATGTGCTGTATAGGCCTTTATCTTTGGCATCGAATAGATCCGCAAACATATTAGTCAGTGCAGTACAAGTACTGTGGTTTTTTCTAAACCCTGACTGTAGCTTAGGCAATATATCAAAGTCATCTAGAAATGAAGCAATTTGTTTAGTTACTATCTTTTCCATTATTTTTGACATTGCAGGTAACACGGAGATAGGTCTTAAATGCTGGACGGTTTTTGGCGCAGCAACCTTAGGCAATGGTTTCACATGGGCAATCTTCCAACTTGTAGGGAAAACACCTGAGGCCAGACTCATGTTTATCAAATGTGTTATTGCTCCAATTGCATATGGGTTGTGATGTAAAATACCCAGGTATTTAAAACTCGGGTTAAATACCCTGGGTATTTACCCGGGTAAATACCCAAAATCCATAAATACCCGGGTATTTTGGGTATTTATGAAATCAATTGAAAATCATTTATATTTACCCCTAAATATGTTATTGTTATTACATGATAAATTAGGGTAGTCTATAACACCTTTTACAGTAACTTGAAGCTTTGCTCGCTTAATGATTTAGCACTTTTTTTTAATAATACACAAAGTTTCTAAATAAGCATGGGGTTCCGTGTCTTAAATCGAGTAACATCAGTTAAATTTAACTCACTAAAAAATAGTATATATTAAAAAAGGCTGTGGCTATTTCAATTTTTATAATTTCATAAATTTATAACCAATTAAATAATATAAACAAAATTATTTTAATTTATAAATATCCAGGAATTGTTGGGTACTTATGATGCAAAATTTGTATTGTATAAATGGTTTGGAAGGCTAGACAGACCTAAGGCCTGATTGACATTAGGCAGAATGATAGAATACTTTTAAGTAATTAAACTTTTCTGTGTTACCGCTTAGTTGGAAACAATAATATATTTGGATAAACCTACTAAAGAAACGTATCTCCTGTTTTTTGGTCGAACCGAATATAATATTGAAAGATTTATTGTGCTATAGATTCAAATGTTTTGTATCACAAGTTTATGAAATTATTATTTTTTTTTTATACCATTGATACCAACAAAAGATCTGGAAACAAAAATATTATTAAATCCTGCCATCCTACAGATTGAATTTTAAAATTATTTTCTTAAGTTGTTTACACATAGGCCACTACTAGGTTAAATTTTCCTGTCTTTCTAAATAATAATTAATTACTTTTCAAATTTTTTTTTCACTTTCAATAAAATAAATTCATCTATCTATCATAGAAATTAAAAAAATCATGTCAGGACCAGTGCAACCATGCGACCAGGGTATTTATGCCGATTTTCCCAGAAGTAAAATGCCAGTAGTGACCATATGAAATTTTGTTTAACACATTTTATCATCATTTTACTATCCTTACAAGGTAATAATTGCAAAAAAACATCTAAATCTTCTCTAACTTTAATAAAAATTATAAATACCCAGTTTTTGGGTATTTACCCGGGCCTGGGGTAAATACCCGGGTAAAGCCCAATTTATATTTACCTACCCACTGGGTATTTACCCGGCCCACATCACTACATATGGGCTAACAGATCTTATCATTTGTATCGATATACTATCAACACCTACAGCTTTTGATTTTATTGAGTTCATTGCCTCTTTAACATCATTTTCTGTAATCATTTTAAATTCAAACTTATCGTTATCTCCATGTTTTTTATATTGTTGAAGTTTATTTAGCAATTCAATGTCTATATCATTACAAGATCCCATATTGACAAAATATTAATTTATCATATTAATGTCTAAATCTGGGGGGAGCCTACTATTTCTCTTACTACTTACAATCTCACAATTTTTTAAACAATTCCAGAACTCTGCAGGGTTTTCACATGAGGCAAGCTTGTTAGAAAAGAATATTTTCTTAGCCTCTTGGATCATGAAATTCAAACTATTTCTTATGGTTTTATACTCATACCAGTCTGAAGAATCTCTGGTCCTCCAATATTTGTTACGGTGTTTATTTTTAACAATTGACAATTCTTTAATTGTTTCATTTATCCAGGGAGCTTTTTTCCGTGTTACCTTCTTACAAACAATAGGAGTAACCTCATCAAACACTTTCTTTATATGATCAGTAATAAATTGCTCTATCTCATCAGGAGACTCTAGCTTGTACACACAATTCCAGTTAGTATCAGCAATTATGTTTAGTGCAGTATCTGCATTAAATTTAGAAAAATCTCTAAATGTGATTAGCTTCGACCCCCTTTTGTCTTTCTTACAAGATATACAACAATATATTAGTTTATGATCAGTCATCCTCATTCCTCTGTGGTCAACTATGTGAACTGTCTGAGTTGCCTCCTGTCTAGTCATAGAATGTTGGAGGCAATGTTCTATGAGTAGTTAGGTAGCGGAGTGGTTATAGACCTCACCAAGTAACGATAGGAATAATAGTGTTTGCTGCTCGGGATCTTCCTTGCTAATCACAAGTATATTTCCGGCACAGCATATTAGAGCTGAAAACGCACAATCGTATCATAAACAAGTATCCTTTGTACCATACTTCTCTGAGTATGAACTAAAGGTACTTGACTGATTGGCTGAGCCAACAACAGTCTGGAGATAACTATAGTCCAGTTATTTACTCTTCATTTTCCTGTTAATGATTTTGTAACCTTATGTTTCCAGACCCCCACCCTGGTCTTCTGGCTCTCTGGGCCAAGAATCGCCAGGACCTAGGAGCTGTGAGATGGCAACTGTTTGTCTCCAGTGTTTGTCCTGACCTTGATATACACAAGATACGGAGACTACCAACTCATCTGCTAATCCCAACACTTGTACTCGCCTTTCTTGAGGTAATCTTTTTGGGGGAAAATGATCTCTGTTTGAGATAGTATCCTGAGTGAGATAAGTTATTGATGGTTTGAAATTGGACTCAGCTGTCCTTTATAGTGTCTCGTGTTCCTGGTCAGGAACCGATGAGAACCTCTTTGGCGAAGGAGTGGGGGGCATGATGTCACTCTTCTCTTGAGGGAACACCATTATCGCAACTATACGAAGGGAATCCATCAGTGTTCGTGGCGTAGTGGTTAGCATACTCGACTGATGTCCATGAGGTATTTTAAATCGACGTGAGGGGCTCTCCCACAATCCCCCACTCCTTCGCAGAAGAGATTCTCATCGGTTTCTGACCAGGAAACTGAGACGCTAGTAGCTGTCCTTGATCATCCAATCATCATGGGATCATCCATGGGTTGTATACAAATAGTCCTGGTTCAAGAAGCAGCTGATTTTAATAACCAACAAAAAGCTACAACACAATTGCACTCTTCAATAATCGTGTATTCATATTCTACTTAAAATACACTCTGAGGTGGCTTCGCTATCTCAAAACTAATGAGAATAAAATTATATTTTCCTGTCGTTGAGGTAACAAACAAGTCAAATTATTGTACAAATACACATAAGCATCACACAAGTAATGTCGTGAGAGTGTACAAAAGGCTGAAGGACATTGTTTAGTGCCCTAACAATATTTGTATTGAATAAAAACATACTAGTTCTTGTTATGTATTGAGTGTAGCCTGATATGCTTTCTGAAAGACAAAAATTTTAGGGAGGCAATTATGTGTATTTAAGCATGCTATAAAAAATCAAGTCACCAAGCATTTTTTTTGCAGACTAATTACTTTTTATAGAAGTGTAAATTGTTGCAATTAACTGGAAGCTTTGTATGCATATCAAAGAACATATACTCTTCACAATACGACACAACTCAAAACTTGAGATATATTGGATAGCATTGTCCATATAATTTATGAAAAAGGTTCAGTCAATACTTTTTTGTATTGGACATTTAAGTTACAGTATAGGAGTTGTTGAAACTGAAATAATTCTGAGATGGTGGGAAGAAGCTGCCATGTTGGCCATACAAGCGATAGCTGATGTTCTCTACAATTCCATATCGATTACATCAATAGTGTTACCATTACGGCTGACAAACCTATGCAAGGGTTAAAATCAATCAAGGATCTTCAGGGTTTCAGTTGTATTACCTGTAACTTGAGACATTTTTCAGGAATTCGGCTGTTTGGAGGATTGGGAGGTGGCTGCAGTGTTGGCAACCGCAGTTTGTCTTCCACAATACAATGTTCAAAGGTTGGCAGCCCTGCCAGGTGACCCTATGACTACCAGAGGAATCAGGGTGGCCAACCTTTTAATGCGGTCGACATTTGTTATTTACTTTCTACTGGCAACTTGTGGTTACCCTGAGACTATAGAGCATGTAAGTCACTAATTTTAAATTTATTGATGTTTTTTGAACATGAATTTACTGATACATTGTTAAAAATCTTTGTTACAACTGTAAAACTTAATTGAATATAATAAGTTTATGATGAAATCTTGTGAAATTTAAAGGTGTAATTTGTTCTCTGCAGACTGCTCCTTGGTTGTTCTTTGACGGCAAATTGTTCCACTTGAAGTACAACCAAGCCATGAATGCTTGCCCTTTTCCTGTCTTGTACAACCACAGGGTAAGTGAAGCAGTACAGTAGTTTGTGTAAACTGATGTGTATAGTCTGTACTAGCTGTGTGCCCGTTCTACGCACGGGGATCTTATAGTAGTCAGTTGAAACCTTCTTATATTAAGATTAAGAACAGCAGTTAGTTTGCATATTTGCAGATATGCTGGCAAAACTATTATAAGTTATCCTTCGCAAATACAGTATCTGACAGTTCAAGCCAAAATAAATGCTTCGCAATTAAATGTCACCCGGATCGTTATGGTCCATATGTCCAATAATTAAACTAAAAAATGTTTTATAGATCCATGAAGCGTAGCCCTAAAGTAGGCCTATAATTGAAAGTTACTTTCCACATCGGTTAACTTAAACGTATTTAAAGTACTACCTCAACCTCACCATTTAACACTTTATTCCGGTTGACATTTTCAGTATCAAAGGTACTCTTGTCCATTCCGTGAAACACTGAGAAATAAGGACATTAATGCGTTACCAACAGACATACACACAACAATCCAACAAAGGCCACGAACTATTGATACATAAACAATATAAAGGCGTAAACAATTCATGATGGTTTGCCCAACAACTGTTTTACTCAAATAGGTTATCATTTTCTTAGCATACCGGGTAAGCTAAGATTTGGAATCCAGACAGAAAAAGCAAAACTTATACAGAGTTAAGACATCACTTAAATTGAATACGGACGGCTCTAATAAATAAGGTGCAACACCAACAATAACTAATTTGTAAACTTCAGTGATGTGTTGGTACCTACGTAAAAATGATTCTAGCAGCTACCAACGGTTCTAAGGAAAAGAACCAGTACCCACGTAAGAACCTACCTAAGAACTATAGTACATCCGACCTATTAAATACCTTAATATCTAGTCCCGAGGTTATTGATCTCTTGCTTTTGGATTTTCTCGTAAAAAGTTATAGCGTAAACTTATCGGTGTCAGTTTGAAAAAAAAACAACCTTACCCAAACAACTTTTTGTTATTTAATATATTACGCATTCTCTAAACAATGATTAGTATATCTATTAACATTAGAAGGAAATGTGACGAAAATCACACAATGTTTGGGTTTTGGTCATTTGTAATTATATTTCTTAAGTAGGTAGGCCATGTATTCTATGGAAAAGTACCGGTATCAAGGATCGTCATCAAAAAGGTTATTATGAATAAATATGTAGGCTTACGTACCCAAGATATGAGCTATGGGCCTATTGGCTGTATGGTCCAGCGATTGCATCACACGGTGAGTAGAAACAGAAAGTGACACATTGGAAAAGCGAGTTTAGCACTTCCTCTGTTAAACCTCTGTTACAATCACCCACTGCAGTTGTGATTTTTTACTTTACACTTTACACAACCGCCATTGAAGCGCCGTCAATGAGTGGAAACCTTTTTTGTTGGCGACGATCATTTCAGTGTCCAGCCCTATACAACACTGATTCAAGGTCTTCTTTCTGATTGTCAAAACTCAAGAAACATTTTATACTCAAAGAATTTCTGGTTCCGATTTGGACGATGTCTAGTTATTTAATTTCATTTACGGTTACACTATTAGACTATATTATTGCACTTGCGATTAATTAAATCCGTTATGAAAGAAAAACGTTTTTAATCTCACTTGGTTGGGATTTGCTTTCAAAACGTGATTCGAAATGGTTGCGGTATTTGTAAACAACATTTGTAAACATATCATTGACAGCTAGAAAAAATAATCTTGATCCGAACAGCTGTTCGTTATTTCATAGACGATTATGTGATACAAATTAAACGAAAATTTGACCAAAATCGCACAAAACTGCATTTTTGAACGTCCGTAATTTTATTTACAAAGTAGTGAGGCTATATTTAAATCACTAAAGACACTCTCGCCAATCCAGTGAATACATTAAAATGACTTGGATCTTGATAGGTACTCTGGTTTTCACGGAGAAGATTGCGTAAAATGCCATCTTGAGTGTTACAGACAAAGGGAAAGACAGACAGACAGACAGACAGACAGAAATAGAGATAAGACTCGTTTCTGCTTCTTTAATGTATAAAACGTAAAAATAACCTAAAAGTATATAATTCTGAGCAAAGTACAGACAAAACTCTAATTTTATTTATATAGATGATGGAACCTGTCTCCTGATCCTTTATCTACCTGGGACTGACTTGGGCCTTAAGCCATTGGCCAATCTTGAGATAGACTGAGCGTCAGGGGATTGAACTTTAAAATTTAGAATATTAGGAAAGAATTTAGAAATTAAGAATTAAGTTGATGTGTTTTTTAGAAAGTAGACTTCTGACTTTAACAGCTGATTAGTTACAATACTCATCAAACAATCTGCACCATTTTGATTCTGAGAATTTCAGTAATTTTTTATGGTTTGATGCTGACCCAGCTGTCCTTGATCAATTGGAACTTAATAAACTAAATTAATTAACTCAATTGAAAGGTAATAAAAATCCTCACTAAAGAAACAACTGGTCTGACTCAATGAAGAAGTTTTTTTTTTATCAATTAAGATCGCCTATTTTATACATCCATGAGTGATAGATGAGTGTAGAATGGAGTGTGATGATGTGTAGCTTTGCTGCTAAGATCAGCTGTTTTATCAGCCAGGATAATTTATTTTAAGCCCAATGATGAGGCCCAGTTCCAAATCTAAAAAAAAACTGCAAAAAGCTAAAAGTATCTCTTTCTAACAACAAATATATATATATTACTGCATCCTGTCAAATACAAATACCTTTTTACCAAGACAGTGATGGAACAACTTATTGTGAGCTATAGCAACTGTTATGACCAGCGGCCAAAAAAGAGGTTGAACTTAAAATATTAGACACTAACGCATTCTGTGTCTGGCTCACACAACTACGTTATTGATAAGCAAAATTTTTGCAACAGCTGACCGGTCTATATAGATGGGATGTCTACTTCAGTATCCAATAGTCAACTTGCTCTATTCAAAGTAAATAATTTTCCTGTTACCTAATTTGTATATTCCACATGAATTGTACCTTTTCCAGAATGACAACCGAAAGTATTTTGTCCAAGCACAAGACATCATTTACAAGCGGTGAAAGAAACATCACATGAAAGACTCCATGACAATCGTTTGTTATACGATAACTAATGTACCTTAAATCAAAAATATCTTTCATAATTTTATACTCATTCATTATATTATAACAATTTAGTTTATAAAATATTGTAAGAAAAATGTACAGCTGGTGATGTCCTAGACTCTAGAAGATACAGTATGGGCAAATTAGTTACTATTATTATTTTTATTTATTTATTTTTAGTATTTAGTACAACTAGTGAGCAAAGTGACTTTTCTAAAACAAGTTTTCTTGACCTTTCTTAAAAATACAGTTTTGTTATATTATTTACATTATATTTTGTATACGATTTTGGAGTGAGACAACTAAAAATTATTGTGCTCAAAAGTACTCTCAACATTGAGGTTAGGATGTTTAAAACACAGCTGTGTGTTAAAAGTTGGGACCACGTAAGTTTGCAGTTGAGTGAGGAGCCTATTTACCACATGACTTCGAAGGAGCCAATGAGGACAGTGCTGTGTTGCCAAATCTAATAATAACAGCTGGAGCTGATTTGAAAATATTGTTTAATATTTTAATTAGTGTTGTCAACAGGTGATATGGCAACGTCACACTAGCCTTGTCCTGTGATTGGCTGCTGCCAACTGCAAACTTTCGTGGTCGGACTGTAGTGATTGGGCTGCATTATTGAGGTGGTGCACATGTGAGCAATAATGTCATTGCCAACTTTAAATTTGGCTAACAAAAAATGCTAGCCAATTACTTTCTTTTTATAATTTTAAAAGATAATAATTACTTTGTTGTTAGGTTAAGCATGTAAGAGTTAATTTTATTTTCATACAGCCCAATTTCTGTTTATTTTTATTCAATTATAATAAAGGTAGCCTAAATTTTGTTTTGTCAGTTAAGGAGTGAGGTAAAGTAAAATATTGAGTTCGTCAGCTGTTTTTGTTTTGCAAACTAACTCAAGTGAAAATAACCGCTGTATATAAAATTAATCTGATCATTTAATGTTTACAAGATTGTTTTGATTTTTAAGAATTTTTTGTTTTAGCTGTAAAATCAAAGTTGTTACATTTTTGTTGTAATCATATCGAGTTATTGTTGTTTTGTATGTATAATACAATTTACTATTAATTTAAAATGTGTTGATTCAATAAATCCCTAATTAGAAATGCATACAAAAATGATCATAGTTGACTGATTCTTCTAATAGAAAAAAATTTAGGTAACAACAATCTTAATTTCAATTTGAGGGCAATGTACTTAATAGTAGTGGTAGAACATGAGGATTCGGTCCCAGGTTCGTATCTTATTTTTTATAATAAAAGACGTCCTTTGAAACCAAGGATTTTAGTCTTACAATGAAAATGTGTAGGCGGGAAATAGTAGTTTACGCAACGATTGCGTAAAGACTATTAACGCGAGTTGCGTACACTACTTTACCTACGACCGTTTTTAATTACTAAAAATCTGGTTTTTTATTACTAACATTCACTACTCATAACTTCCTAGAGAGGTTATGTTTTTGTTTATTGTCATTGTCACTGAAAGTGATGCACCGACTTATTGTATAATCAGCTGATTTCATGTAATTACAGCTGATTTCATGTAATTGTGTTTGTAAAACTTTGTTAAATAATATGTTACTTTTTTCAGGCAATAGGTTCTGCTAGCAGCATTCTTACCATAAATACTGTATCAGGTACAATTAGGGAAATATTGCATATATTTTTGGACAACTGAATAATATAGTGAAACAGTTAATTTACAGTTAGATCTCAGCATCGAATATGTGGTCCACAACGAGTTGGGTGAAAAAGTGGTTAAGAGGTTTTCAAAATAAACCAGAAGAACATTTTCATTTATCAATTTAACCTTATTTTGTTTTGTCCATTTAATGAATTGCTGGTATGTAATTGCATATGGTACCTTAGTTTTGATTTTGGTGGCAAAAGATTAGCACAAACAGTTTGTGCTCTCATTTCTATCTTGTCAACATCACTTTCACTAACTGATATTTTAAAATCCACCTTCATTAAACTTCCACCAACTTAGGAATTAAAATTGTCAACTGATCAGCTGATTAGTTGACAATTGAAGTATTACAATTGTACTTCTATTCTCTCAATCCTTGAACCTCATTGGTCCGGTTCCCGTGTTGATATGAGAAAAACTATGCTGATATGAAATGAAACTATGCTGATATGAAATGAAACTATGCTGATATGAAAGTAAACAGCTGTTAAGTGAAACTTTTCAATTCTAAGAACTGGACTGAAATGGCTACTTTAAAAAACGGTCGTAGGTAATAGTTATTTGTGCAACTAGTGAGAAAAGTGAGCAATTGACTCACTCGAGAGAAATCCTTACTCACGAGACGTAGGCGAGTGAGGAATGGTTTCTCGAGTGAGGCAATTGTACTTTGAACTCGAGTTGCACATTATACTTTTCCTACAGTTACCATAAAACAAATAAATTGGTGAAGAAACATAACCTATTTTTACACAGAAGTGAACTTTTAATATAACATTTAATGTGAAGTGACAAATACAACAGTACAACATCTGAGCAGCTGATTTACAGCCAGTGCTGCCAACGTATTTCGCGCGCATACGACATGTTACGCGCCTACTATTTCGTGCCTTCACGTTGCAAATCTGGAGTGAGACAAAGTAATTAGAGTGAGACAATGTTAACATTGTCTCACTGATGAGCGAATTGGCCACTTTGCTTTCTCAAATCAGTGTGAGAACATGTACATTGTTAGGTAACTGTAGGAAAAATACTTTTCATTACTCTGTTCCAAAAGTAGCTTTTTGGATAACAGCTGATATCAAATAATAGTATATTGTATTTCATCACTAGTACCGAAAGTTTCCTTTTCTGTCGCAGAGCGTACTTTCAACTTTCAAACAAAATTTCTTTTATTGAAATCAACTGTTTTTACTGTTTGACCATGTGAATGTGAACAGAAATATGTACAAGTTAGTTTTTCTGTGTTTTTATCTTGTAGTACAGCACAAACTTGAACTACTAATTTTACGTTGTTATGTTAGGTTTACCTTTTAGCTTTGATCTTATACAGTGTGTAAATTAAGTCTTGAAACAAATCTGTATTTTTTTAACCGAAATAGATAGAAATATTTTGTTTGGGGCGTTGATTGTTAACGAAGGTTCCGTAATTTTTTACATCAAATATATTAGTTTACCTCCCTAATCCCTATTAGGGAGGTAAACTAATATATTTGATGTAAAAAATATATTTGTACCCTTAGGGGTAGGGTAGGGGGTGACTTATTTTTTCAAATAGCAACCCCTAATATTTTTGGCCAAAATGGCAGGTATAACAAAATTTGATTCACTGTATGTGAATAAGCACCAATTTCACAAATCCAAAAAGCTGTTATCCAAAAACCTACTTTTGGAACAGAGTAATGAAAAGTATTTTTCCCGCCTACACATTTTCATTGTAAGACTAAAATCCTTGGTTTCAAAGGACGTCTTTTATAAAAAAAATAAGATACGAACCTGGGACCGAATCCTCAGGAAACAAATATCTGTATTCTTAAAACCGAAATAGATATAGCCTAAATAATAAATATTCTGTTTGTGGAATTGATTATGAACATAGGTCAGCAATTTTTACATTAAAAATATTTTTTAAACCCCCTAAAACGGTAAGGGGGGTGGGGGTGATTTATTTGTTTAAATAACAACCCCTATTGAGTGACCTCTCATTTTGAAGGGTTTGTCAAAAGAAATACATTGATGCAAACCCGAGGCAGATATTTCATCCCTAGCCTAAATGGTGGGTATTCCAAAATTTGATTTATGTGAAAAATCACCCATTTTGGAATACCTAACATTTTGCCTAGGGGTGAGATATTCACCTCGGGTTTGTGTCTGTGTTTCTTTTGACAAACTCTTCAAAATGAGGGTCACTCAATAGGGGTTGCTATTTAAAAAAAATAAGTCACCCTCTACCCTATTAGAGGGGTAAACTAATATTTTTTATAAAAAAAATTACGGAACCTTTGTTAACAATCAACGCCACAAACAGAATATTTCTATCTATTTCGGTTAAGAAAATACAGATTTGTTTCAAGTCTTAATTTACACACTGTATATTAAGATAATGTTAATCCTACTAATATTATAAATGAGAAAGTTTGGATGTATGGATATATGGATGTATGGATGTATGTTTGTGACAAGTGAACGCGAAAAATACTGGTCGGATTGGGCTGAAATTTGGCATGATGATAGCTGACATTCCCGATTAACATATAGGCATATTCTTATTTCAAAAATCCTTTCGGGCTCCGCCCCAGTGGCTCTGGAGTTTCCCATGTTAACCTAATGAGAAATGGAATTATTGAATCTTAACAGCTGTTTCAATTAAACAAGTTGGTCCTGTTCTATGATGTTCAATAGCATTAAAGTTACAAGGATTACCAACAGGGTGCAGCACTATTATTTCTTTTACATTTATGACAACAGCTAATTTGCAACCAAAAGGTGAGTGAGCGTAGCGAACGAACTTCAACCTGGAGGCGAGTTAGCGAAGCGAACGAGCTAAACTGAAGGCAAGTGAGCGCAGCGAACGAGCTAAACTTAAGGCAAGTGAGCGCAGCGAACGAGCTCCAACCTAAAGGTGAGTGAGCGTAGCGAACGAGCTCCAACCTAAAGGTGAGTGAGCGTAGCGAACAAACTTCAACAAGGACGTGATTGAGCCATGCGAACGAGATAATCTTGAAAATTAAGAAGTTAAACGGGGCAAAGCCCGTGGGTTACAGCTAGTTAAGAAATATATAGCTTAAATTTTACTGAGGCCTTACTCTGAATGTTAGTATTTTTGCATCACGATGAAAAGTATCATTAAACTTTAAACCTGTGTCAAAAGTGCGGCTTTGCTTTGCATGTGAAATAACTCAGTCAGGCTGCTAATGCCTGATCCGTACAAAAGTACGTATTTGGGAATTTGGGTTAATTAAATAATTCACTTTAGTCATTAATCAAATTATATAGTTATAATTGGTTCGTAACAGCTAACTGGAGCTGCACTTTCAGTCTTGTTATGTCTTGTGACATATCCCTTGCATTTAATATACAGCTCAGGCTTATTGATTTGTAATACGGGTGATACAAAAAATATCATTAATCAACTAACTAAACATAGTAATTCATCGTTAATATATCGAGTAAACATAGGTATAATATTGGAAAACAAGTATGATTTAAAGTTTGAATAATCCGAAACTAATAAAAAACACAAGTTGCAAATATCAAGTCATCTAATTAAAACAATAATCCCGTGATACATAAAAACTAAAGTCACTAACATTCGAAAACACTAATATATGTGCACTGGATATGAAAACAAAGGCACATTTTGGCAGTATTTGTCACAAAATTAAGAGATTATATAAAACTACACAAAACTGCGATATGCTCGGACCGAGATTAAACCTAAACGATAAATTTCTTTATAACAAATAATAGGTCTAGTATTGTAAACTAAAAGAAATTATAATACGGATCAACCATTTGAATAGTACGATAGGTGAAAACCACACTAAACAGTCACAGCCACAGAGAATGGTCATAAACAAACCACAATCAAGAATTGTCCAGGTTCAACCTTGCGGCTTTTCGCGGACTCCCCGACACACTCCACGAGTTTGGCTTATTGCTATCTGAGTGCTCAGAATCGGGTGAGTGAAATTCTTTGGACAGGGAAGCTGGTTTTTTGTTTGTCTCCAATTCCTCATCCCTGAAATCGTAGATGTCCGGTTTTACATCTATTGTTTCCACTTTTATTGGCGGTTCTACACCAGTTCCTGATGGAATTTTCCACTTCTTTTCACCGAGAGAAGCGAACCTCGGTTTTGATGGAGAACCGTTTAATTGACTAGACGATACCACTGAAGGCGAATTTTTGGTAAATTTGACCGCGTTTATTCCCCATTTGGCTGCTGAAGAGGGCGACTTCTGTTTCTTCGCAAGGTTCAGTTCACGTAGAGCAGCTTCTGCTTTTATTTTAACCGTTTCTTCAGCCATATTTCCCATCCTAACCTTTCTACGATCTAACTTTTTGGACAGTTCAGCTAAATTTTCTTCTGAACTCGTTCGGCTGGCAAGTTTTTCTGTTATTTTTTCAGAAGACTTGTCAGTTTCGGGACTGTTTGATTCTGTGTTGCTGCTCTCTTCACGGCTGGACTCGCATACTGATTCATCCTCACTCTGAAATTCAGAATCCTCATGCTCTTCTTCATTGTCATTTGATTGTTTCTTTATCCTTCCGACACTTCTATTTCCTTTACGGTTCGGTGAACATATCTTGTCATCAGGGCATTTTTTCTTTGAACTGGATTTTGACTCTGACTTTGGTATTAACTTTGCTGGTCGGCCTCTTTTCCTCTTAACTGTGCTGGTGGAATCTATTGCGCTGTCGCTGACAGGTAACATCTTAACATCGCTTTTGGGTGTCTGGGAGGCTTCTTTTGTCTCACAGCTAGATTCCACAACAGAAACTTTATCCATCTTGGGGTTTTCTTCCTCTTGGAAATCAGCTGAAAATCTTCGGGGGTGGTCTTCAATTCTGTGTCTCATGACTTCATGGATACTTTGGAAGCTCAAACCGCAGTCTGTAAACAATGTCAGAAGGGTTATAAATGAATTCAATGTATATCTTAAGAATTATCCTAGAGTACCCTTTACAAGGATTAGTTAAGTAAGCTTGGTAATAAAATACACCCTGAGAGTGGATGAGGATTTTAAGTATATACTTTAAATATCATTTAAGTACATTCAAATCAAATCAAATCATCTTTATTCAAACTGTACATACATACATGAATAGAGTCACAGAAATAAGAACTAACAAGTACATTATGTTTCTTATTTTAACATTATTTTATTTACATACATTGCTAAATCTATGCAATACAATCCTTTATTAATGCTGTGTATTTATGAATGTAGTTAAAACATTTTTTACTCTTTTGGTTAGTTAGTCCTACATAACAAAAGGCTAAAGACAAATTTATTAAATTCGCTCACCAGTCACTAGTAGATCTTGCAATTTGTATTTTTTTCTTCTTTATCATTGAAATCGTTTTTGTAAATATATACCTACAACCAGCTCTAGTTTGCTGGTAGCAAATAAGCTTGATTATAGGATGGATTAATAGAGCTATAAAAAGAAATCTTCTATAGAATAACAAGTTTTATCTTGGAGATATTTTCCCACTAATTTCCTAAATCCCTTTGTGTGTATATTAGTTTTCAGATTTGATGGTAATTTATTAAGAAATTTACATCCGATTTGTGTTGCTTTCTTTGAGAAAAAAGTGAGGTTATGCCGGGGTATATCTATTTGATCTCTATTTCTTGTGTTATATACGTGTATATCTTTGCGAAACACATACTTATGAATGTTATTTTTGGCAGAGATAATGCATTCTAAAATATACTGGTCATAGACGGTTAGTATATCTAATTGTGAAAAGTAGTTTCTTACAGATGTTTTAGGTTCCAGGTTTAACATTATTCGCAAAGCCTTTTTTTGAAGTTTAAGTATTTTATCTAGGTTTTGTGCATTATTAATGCATAATTGTGCATAATTAGGCATTACCAGTGAAGAGTTACTGTTTAAACTAAAGACTTGAGAATAGAGAGGAGAAATAGAGGAGAACTATCACTATTGGCTGTAAAAAATAAATTAATTCACATATTTGTGGTTAGTAAGCAATTTTATAACAGTTTTACCTCATTTTCCATGTTTTAATTACAACAATAATTGCTATTGATTGATTTTTAATCAAAATTGTGATAGAAACGATTTAAGCTAAAAACATCAAAACTTGTACGAGTTACCTGTGTATAAACTAAACTATTAATGAAAACTGAAAAGTTAATCAACATACCTGAACAAAGAGGTAACATTTCACCATCGTCATTGCCATCCATATCCAAGTCCATTGGGCTCTTCCAATCTAAAGAAATAAAAAGTCGGTAAGTGAATGTGTAAACCATTTAAACGATTACATTATTTTCCAAAAAGAATAATGTTCATCTCATTAGTTAATAATGACTAGCTACACTACTTTAAGTATACATTCCATTCGGCAAGACTAGAGCAACCAAATTTCAAACCAAAGTATAAAGCATTGGAGCGTCCAACGTAGGCAACAGGCAGTGTGCGTTGCGAGCATATTTTGAAACTTCTATTGTATCTCATCGCTCACAAAGTGTAGCTGTTGTCGCCAGCGTCGCTCACATAGGACACTCCCGTACCAGGCAGTGCCAGTGTTGACAGCGACAGCAGCTAGAATAAATTGTCGCCTGTGTTGCTTGTGTCGTTCACAATGACAGGCCACAACAATTTGCAACATTCTTCCAGCGTTCCGCTGGCGTCGCTGTTGTTGCACTGCTCCTATAGTTAACGTAGGACCAGGTCTAAGCTAGATTTTTTATTGTTTCAGACTGGACCCAGCTTTCCATAATTAATAATTGGTCCTGGATAAGAGAAACAGCTGATCTTAACCAGCACCAAAGGTATAATGGAGCTAACTCGCCTTCCAATCATTTATGGGTTCAAAACTTGCTCCTATTAGCTTACCAACAACCCTTGTCATAGGCAAGTGGTGGGAGAAAAAATAATTCTTATTTAATTTGATGGAAAAATCATTAAAAAATCGAAATGGAAAAAATGAAAAAAACCGTTTGGAGATACCAAGAATTAATACTGACACACTATATTTAATAAAGATAAGATACTTTCTCAATCCACTATGTATAGGGGGAGACAGTAAAAATGGAACTTCGTAGCAGAGGCTCATTCGAATATGTTCAGATTTTTCAAAATTCAACAGTTGTACCAACCTTGGTCTTGGTCTTCATTAGGCAGTGTTTCCTCCACCTCCTCGTCATACCTGCGACCGTACTTGCCGTGAGCTCTGGCAATGTGGCGATTACGGGTGCTTGGTATCAGAAACCTGCAACAAAAACTTGCCTATAATTCTACTGTTTAGCACACAAGCTTCAAACAAGCTTTATTTTATTTATAAAGTGGATAGTTTATTTATGTTTTTAGAGGTTAAGTGGTAGAGAGGACTTGCTAGTCCTAACTTCGCCTCTTAAATAAAGACATTTTTAATTTCATTTTGCATTTCATTTCATTTCAAGCTTGGAGGTATAATGGAAAGTGAAGTAAATGGATTGATGAAGGTTTAGGGATTTGACATATACAACTGTTTTAGTTTGGAAACTACAACTTGTGTGTTCAATTAGGTAGTTATAGTTTGTTAGAAAGTTTATTTTTCTACAAGATGCCCAACAATCACATTTCAGGGCTTGGTTACCAACCAACACAGCTTTGTGGTGTGTTCTAAAATTGAGTACTAACAAAGATATCCAGACTATTATAGGTATATACCTTATGTCAACAGTTCAATAAGTGGTGGTGAAACTCGCCACATGTTTCGCCTATTCAGGCATCGTCATGTAAATATGTAAAATTTACAAGAATGATTCATCCAATCACTTGTACATATCACCTGACGATGCCTGAATAGGCGAAACATAAAGCGAGTTTGCCACCATTTATTGAACTGTTGACGTAAGGTATGTACCAAAAGCCAATTAAACAGTTCAGGGACTACACAATGAATTTATAAAGATATCCACTTCAACAACAAAGTTTTTCAGTCCCTTTCAACCCATATTTTTGAAGCTTGATAAGTTTCAAGACTCAGCAAGAATAAAAGAATCGTTGTAATCCAAGATTACAAAAATAGCAACCATTTAAGAATTTTAAATAAAAATGACAAAAAACAGACGGTAGCTTTTACCTGAGCTCACAGATGGGACAGGCGTAAGGTCGCTCCTGCACATCACTACTGCACACAGCCAGGTGGTCTAGGAGGTTGGTAGGCTTGAGATCAGTGGTGCCACTTCCACTACAACCCCCACAGTTGCTGCTACAGGGCGTGTTGCTGTGAACACTAGCGGCCAGCGCTCCCTTGCTCACACCCAGGGGTCGGCCTCGAGCCAGTATAGTCCTCATCTCCTCGGCCAGGCTACTGTACGGACGTGCGCTCTCATCTTTGTGACTGACAGCCCTCAATCGACCCAGCAGTTGGATTGTTTCTGCACTGAGCCTGAAATTATGAGGTAATATATTCTATTGATGAAAGAGAGAGTAGAGAATTTCTTCTTTGATTATTGATAGAAATAAACAGAAATCCCGTAAAAAAAATAATTCTCCAGTCAAATAGAACGTAGTTGTATGAGCCACACCAGAGTGTGCTGCCGTTTAAATTGATTCTACTTCCTAGTTTCAGTTTATGTTACTGTGAAAGATCATGACACATAATACATGGTATAATTAGTTAATTAGATATCATTTCAACTGGATTGGTTAAAACGTTGGTGTACTTGACAAACACTAGTAATTAACATCAGTGTCAATGGCCCAATCCAACTATGCAAATTCTTATTCTGAAACTAGCAACAACTTTAACATGGGAATAGGCTATAGGGTGTCCAGCTTCGATTAGGACAAATTTTACCAGATTATTCGGTAGGTCAAAACAAAAACAAGCAAAACATGCAATACATCATGTGTCCTATCTCAAAACCGTTTAGTGTCTGTCTTTATGTGCTTTTTACAAAAACTTTAATAACTCCTTAACGGTTTAAATTCAGTAAATATGTTTATCATGTTGTCCCCTAACTTTGTGTAAAATATGAATAAAAATGTATTACCGTTTCAAAATTGCGGATATTTTCTGTTTTCAAAGCTTAATATCTTTTTAAAAAATTTCTAAAAAAATAGCTGCCACTTTGAAACAGGTTTATACATTTTTTTATTTATATTTTACACAAAGGAAGGGGCAAAACGATATAAATATTTCCTGAATTTCAACGCTATAACTCAAACCGTTAAGGAGTTATGAATATTTTTTGTGAAGCACATACAGACAGACACAAAGATTTGGGGCAGCTCACAAAATAACCAATTTAAATTGCTTGTGTAAAATAGTTAACTACCCCTACTTATAATTTTTTTTATGTTTGTCAATTTCAAGAACAGATAAAATAATAAAGCTTACTACTCGCACAAAAAATATTTGGATGATCTTGTAAGTGTAGTTTATGATACGTATTACATTCTACATAATTCTAAACAAATTAACGATCCGATATTTATGTAGCAGCCTACCACTATGACAAATGCCTGTTTTAATTTAGAAGTCATTAAGCAAGGATCAAATCACTGTAATAGTTACGCTATACTAAAGCAACTTAAACAATACATTTTGGAAATCAATTATTTGAATCAAAATAATTACTGCTAAATACATAACAAGTCTACGACAATTATCCCATACCAGTTTATAACTCCGACTCAACCTTATCAACACATTCGTTACCTATAGTAATGTAGGTTCTGTTGAAGAAGGATGGAGGAAGAAAGGGTGCTACTGTGAAACCTTTGGTGGCTGGTGGAAGGAAAAGGACTGAGGAAATGTGAGGATTGTGAATATCTCAAGTTCCAACTGCAAGACAAATGTACAAAAGTCCATAACTATCAAAAAATTTATTAAAAAGTGTGTATAGTCAAACAACCCTAAGAAGGCACTTCGCAGATAAAGTGAAAGCGCTGTACTATCCGCAAAGTAAACATTGGACCTTTCTTATACTTTACCACTCGCCTGGCACTGATCAACTTTGTGGGACGTGTGTACAGAAAGTAACTGTCAGGGGTATGAGAATGTTAAGTCTCAGCATTGACTATATAACACTACTAGATTGAAAGCCCCATGCATTTGGTTGTGAACAAGCAATCAGCACACTCTGGCGGGAAGGGGCGATCTTAGCGCTGACGTCACCGACCAGTAGGTGCTGCCACGATGTGGCGGGCAATGAAAACATAGTGCTGTCTGCTGTTACGATACGACGCAATGTACAGACAGCCGACAGCTGAGCCATGCTACCCGCGCCCACGTGACTTGCCGGAACTGCACATCCGCTCCCCGCTCGCCTCGAATTCGTGTTGTTAGAAGTGAAGCGCGACTGATCATTAATTTAACTGCTTCGCTAAGAATCTGAGATATTAGACAGGGACTCGTATCCTAATATTTATCGTGATATTTTAGTGGTTGGTGAATTTGTTGATAAAAAAGATGTCCTGTAGATATGTATGAATTTCCTATCTAATCAAATTTAAAACGCCGATGAGAATAACTTATATACAAATTTGCGTAATCAAACGCGTCATGTTGTAAATGTTTTGTTGTAAGAATTTATAGTCAAATATTTAATTGGAATTGAGAAAGTGTGATATTTTATCAATAAATAAATAAATTGATTTATCCACATATCACAATTAAATTTTAATCTATTAAGTATAGTAGAATACATCCACCTAACACTTTGAAACTAGTGAACGAGCTTGAAATAACGACCACACAAAACGCCCAAACCCAAAGCAAATAAAAACTGCAAAATGTGCTCAGAGAAAAAGAGAAAGTGAAATGACAGAACATGGAGGGTGGCAGAGCGTTCGTTCAGTTCGGGTAAGGGCATTGCCTTCACACAATACCCGACAACCCCTAGGCTACACTATGATTTACAACATCTGCCTGCTATAGGGAAAAAGGCACCAGTTGATGTGTCAGTAATATGAGACATTACGTAAAACGGGGTTAAATATTTGATAGGCCTATGGTAAGTCTCAGTTTTAATTTAGAAGTGTGATATAACTGTTACACGTCCTTTAGTTCCGTTATCAGCCAATTTTATATTTATAATAAACTATCACCATAGGGGCTCAGTCTGTGATCGATTTACTTTTTCGTTTCGATGTCCCCAGAGACCAGAACTCCATCCTTTCTCATTAAAAAATATGTATCTATACTACAGTATTATAAAACGTGGTGGTGAGAGTCAGTCTGTCTCCACTATATCACATCCATTTTTTGCAACCGCTAAAAATGTTAAACCGATGTAGTCAATATGAAGACCTATGAACTTTTTAGGTTTATTAACTACCCTTACTTGGACAAATGTCGTACGTGGAAAGTCTATTAAAACTGTGTAGTAGGGAAAATATCATAATTAATTGGGTTCTAAAACATGTTACTATTATTATATGAACTTAAAAAAAAATAATACTGCAAGCTAAATGTTAATTATTATTACTTTAAACGGTAGGAGTTGATCCAACTCCAGAAATGTTGAGTATCCCAAAACACAAGAAATATTGATGAAGTTCAAATAATAATAATGGTGTAACAATAGTCTTGTGAATATTTGTTTACGAAACCAGTAGGGAACTGTACAAAGTCTCTGTGTTTTGGACGATTTTGATATTGTGATATCAAATTTACACTGCTTAACGTATAATTGAAATAGCCTTCAAAATACACAGCCTTTTATAATACTAGATGTTTATAAATGTTCACAAATCAATGGGAAAAAATAACCAAAATGGGTATTTGAATTTTTTACCAGCGGGAATATATTACAAACAACTAAAAATCCGAAACGACCTTCACCCCCAACATGGTGATTTATTATATCACAAGTGTGTTTCATACATAATTGAAGTTCATTACCTAAACAATATCCTTTGTTTGGTGATTTCAGAGATAGAATTGACATTTCGCATGTATACTTCTCCACTGTGTACATACAGCAGAACAACGTTTACAATTCTTTATTTTTTAAACCATTGTTCGTATAACAATAAAATATAAAACACTTGCATCATTCTTGCATGCTAATCTTTTACGCTTTGAAAAAGAAACCTCGTTCGCCCAAGATTGGGATTAAAAATTTCCAAGGACTGGCGAGGGAAGCGTTCACAGAAGAGAAACATTTATTACCCTGCTAAAAGCCCTAGCTGAATGACAAGTGGTCCAACTGAATGAATATTGTAAATTACCGAATTAAATGTAAAACCTGAATATTGTAAAAAATAGAAAATAAAACATATTACCGTTGACTATACAGGGTGTTTGTGAACTCAATCACATCACAAAAAGTAAAGAATCTGTCTAACAAGTAAATACCAAAAAGTAGCAGTAATTTTTATTTACATGTCATAATGCATTATTTATTCGGTTTCATTAAACAGCTTAGTCAGTCACAATGCCGTGCGTGATTATAAAGTAAAATTATTATAAGTTTGCGGCAGTAATTTTAATAAATGACAATTTCAGTTCTTGTATTTAACTAAAAATATTTAGGATCTAACAAAAAATTACACAATATCTTGTTATTTAAACAAAGAAAATACTTAGTCCTTGGCCACTTCCTTAACAACTGCTGGACTGACTGTGTTTTTACATACATAGCCCATTATAGACTAAATAATAAATATTGATAGAATGAAAACCAACAATTTTCGTGAGGCTCAGCTGTACTGAAATGATCTTTCCTTGTACATAATGTATATTATTTTAATTATATATGTATATTATTTTGTTGTACAGCTAAGAGGCTGTTTAGTTCATTTATTTTAGTTCATTTGTTTAGTAGTGCCATTTGTGACGGCGATTAGGCTTAACGTTAAGGGGCCGAGCATTACTTTGTTGTTCAGTTAAGAGGTAGTTCAGTTCTTTTCATTTATATTAAGGTACAGTACTGCAATTTGTGACAGTAATTAGACTGAACAGTAGGGGACCGATCATAGTTCGATGTTATTTAGTAGGTTAACAAAGTAAAATATACGGCACTTATTTATGGTTTAAAACTATTTTAAAGTAAAACTTACCATTACTAACCCATTATAAAGTTATAAAGTTATAAAGTATAAAGTTACTTGGCCGTTTCGTTTGTATTTACAAAAAATTACAAACGTTGTTGCCACGTTAAAACTTTTTTTCTTCAATTGTTTTGCAAAAAGCATTTTAATGGTTAATTCTGATTGTTTTGAATGTTATTACTTTTTCATTAATAGGTTTAACTATTTTAATTATTACTATTTCAGCAATTTTGAGTATAAACGCTTAAGCATAAATCTATTTATTTCATTGGTAAAGTACGTTATTGCTAAAGATTCAATACTTTTTGGAGGTTAAGTTAAAATTATTTGAGTTCTTAACCAAATTCTTATTTCAAAGCTGGCCCGTTAGATAAGGCTTAGTATTATAGTTGTTACATTTGTATTATTCGTGACTTAATGGGTTAAAACAGTACTATATACATATATTTATATATATGTTATGTGATTGTGGCCAATTAACAATACTTGACAATTAACAATACTCCTCAGTGCATAAAATATAAAAAAATCGTCTACAATATAAACTATATTCGTGATTTAAATTATTCAATCGTTGAATCACTATTTCTTTTGCTTTTTGTAACTGTAGATACTGTATGTGCTTTTTTCTTTGTGCATGCTCTTATTTATACTTTTTCATTACTATTTACACTAATTATATTCATGGTTATACGTAATAAATATTATTTTTACACAATTCTTTTAATTTCATTTACCACTATTTCAGTTTAAGTGTCACATCACTTTGTAAAAAGTGTAATGCAAAATGCCTGAATTATTTTGCAATGCAGATTTGTCACATTATTTTTCAAACCAGATAACGAGAACCCCAGCGTATGCAGGAGTATATTTTCTTTTAACGCATTAAAAAAACATTTATTTGTATACAGCAGAACCAAATTTTTGACCAGGGTGTTTTATATTTTTATACATTGGGTTGTCTGTAGCTGCCGATGTGGGGTCTTCATTTGCTAAATCATAGGGCCATAAACGAGGGATCGTAAACTTTCACCGTACCCCAGCTTACAAAAGCCGAGATATCCTCGCGGTCACGTCCCTGTGGGCATTGACTATGCAGCGGGGGTGTTTTTACAGTCTGGGAGATCCAAACAACAGTTTGGACTCAACAAGTTTTCTTTGTACAGTACATATAAGCAAATAAGAAATCATTTTTCTGTTAATTCAATTTATCTTTCGATTATTTGTTTGGAGTAAAGAAATTACTAACCTTCATGCTCAATTATTAAGCGTTGTTAATGTTAAAGATTTTCACGATGATAATTTTTAGAATGAATACATTTTGCACTATTTGCTTTAGAATTATAAGGACCATCATAGAAGAATTTCAATCAGAATTGATTTTTTTTTCAAAAATCCATTTCTCGGGTTTGTCATAGTTTTATGGGAAAATAACATAAGTTTCAAGAACTTTTGAACCGTAGTTTTTACCGGAATATGGGGCTGCACTAGATGTTGTTAAGAATAAAAAGGATTATCACTTACGAGTACTTAATTCAATCAAAACAGGGGTTTTCTTTAGAAATTAACATTTTTTCTGGTATTAAGGGATATTTTGTTGAAATAGGCTACCATAATTTACAATGGAATTTTAACCGTAATTTTTACAGAAATTAGAGTTATACTATTTTGTTCTAAGTTACAACATACTACAGTACTATTTTTTCAAAATCGTTCGGTGATTTCAGACATCAATTCAGTGGATATATCCACTCAAAACTCATACTCGAAAATTTTGGGGTAAACAATACTTTATCCATGTACTAACTAATATTGGGAGAAATTAAAAATAAGTTGTCAAAGATTTGCTATACCCTCCTGAATAAACTCGTACCGTACCAAGCATACGGACGGTACGTGCAAATGAGTAAACAAAACGCGGTATCGCGCGCGCAGCAGTAGCCTACTCCATCAGGAGCAATGACCTACATCGCATTCACACAGCTGCGCCGCCGCCGCCGAGTACATCGCGAGACGCGAGCGCGGGCAATCGTTCACTCCGCATCGCTGAGTCTAGTCCAACAGTTTAGTCTAGTCTAGTCCGCCGCTAAGCTCAGTCCAGTCCAGTTGGCAGCAACTGCAGCGCGCCAGGCGACGGTTCCATGAACTTCGTGGTGACGGTGCTGCGATCTAAGTAGAGGGGTCAGTACTACGTGCATCCACCGTGCACAACACAGTACATTGTAGAAATTTCCTGTTCACGCGTCCTCCCGCATAGTCTTCAATCTAGTAGTGTTATATAGTCAATGGTCTCAGGTAGCTGGTGATTCGGTGGCATAACCAATGTTTTTGGAAAGGCATTATTTTCTGCCATAATCAACCCTTTCCCTCTACCACTCCACACTGGACAAAACTACCTTCTTAGGGTAGTTCGACTGTATTTACTATTTAATTTGAAAAACAGATTTAAAATGTAATACAAATATTTTTGAAGGAGGTTATGTAAGATATACGAGTTTGACTCACTTCACATTCTCACTGCCGAATCTCTTCTTTGCAGCACACAATCTTCCCAGCAATTGCAGGGCTCCTGTGTTGAGACTGTAAACATTTGCACTAGTTACAATCATGTTATATTATATTCAATAAAAAACAGGGCTTAACGTTTAGGCAGTCAACAACCTGATCGATCTAATGCGATTACAATTCCAGACCAAGATAAGATTCACAGATGACAAAGTAGTTTACAATAAACTTGGAAGGTTTATTAAATTATTTACAGATCAAAAAATCAGTCAAAGGTAAAATTTATTCATAAATTACAATTAACTAGCATTCATATTAAACATTTAACTAAATAGGCTTGGTTTTTTAAATGGAGAAAACCCCTGAAAATTGGGAAAATTACATGTTCAATCCTCTGTAATTTTTTCAGTGAGGGAATAGAGATATCAAAACTATTGCAGAATGGAATTTCACAATTTTGCCCTGATCCTGAGAGCACTGTTAGATCCAATGAATTGAATACTCACAAATTGGATTTACCAAACATTTAGAATAATTTAGAATGGAAGTCAGCCAATCCTTGTTGAGATTCTAACCAGGAAACCACCGTTCAATCCAGAATTGTTTGCAATTGACAGAATCCACGGATCCGGTACCCTACCATACTGAGGAAATTCTTACATTCAAGTTTAGTATGGTACATTCCCAATCAAAAATTCAATTGGCTCTAAAGGGATTGAAAATTGAAATAACAATTTTGATTGCACTACTCACTCAGCTTGCGAAGGCTGGCCGTTGCTAGTGGTTGGTTCTATCAAAGCTCTGCCTGTCCCCAGCAGCTTGTTGAGAGCTCGGTCCACCAAACCACCCAGAGCCAGCGACATCTTGCTCCTCAACTTCTCTGCAGCCTCTCTATAAACAAACAGTACATTTTTGTGAACTTTTTTCTCTACCCTCGACAAAGTCCTGCCTAGGGAAAAATACTGTGTTTTTTGTGTTCTATGGCCTACCCGTACTTCTTCTAAGGTAAGATAGCTGCTATTCCCCTATATTCTACAATTAAAAACCCTGGCCTAGAGCCTCTTCTTGAACAAAACTGATAAATCCTATTGTTAACTCAAGAAAAAAAAAATTAAAATTAAGGTTCGATTAGTTTCCAATAAAGCATGTTGATTAACAACAATTGTCCGCCCTTTTCATAAACTGTGCACTTACGAAAGCATAGGTTTGGGTGTGTCATTTGAGTCGTGGATCTTCTTGGTGTGTTGAGCTTGTATGTGAGCCTCCAGTTGAGATGCTGTAGGAACAATCTCCTTGCAGACGAAACAGACGAGACGACGGTCTACCTCTTCCGAGTTCAGCAATGCTCGTCGCTTCAGTCCTGCCACAGCACAGAGAGATAACGTAAAAGTCCCTTGCAGACAATGACAGTTTATTTGTCAACTTTTTTGATTGGAAAGAATTTTTTACAGTAGGAATCCTCCTGATTATCAAGATACCCTGCAGCTAACCCTAGGTTCAGCCTGAAGTAAAATGAAAAACAATCCTAGGTAGAGCCCAGCATCCTTGGACAAAAATGATCTAAAATCAACCATTACTCAGATGTATTGCAATACTCACGGGAAGCGTTGGTAACAGGAGCGCAGTGTGACCACGCAACATGAGTCTGCAGGGCTGCCAATCCGAGGAAATGTTTGTTGCATGTGGGACAAACCATCTCTCTGTTCTCATAGTCACCCAACATCTTGCCCACTCCTCTACAGGAACCTGCCTTGGAATCCTGCAATAAAGTTCATCCCTTGAGTCAATTGTTGAAGACACGTGTACAAGGCTTGATGTCATGATATAATTTCATCTAAGTTTAGGAATATATGACACATGAGTTTTCCATAAATGCACTCCAACAAGCTCCAGTGGCAGCCGAGCAAACTGGTTCAAATATAATCACAGAGTGCTAGTACAACTTGGTGGAAGAATTGATTTTCTTTTACATAACAATGTAAACAACCAACAACCAACGATATGATAACAATCAACTACTATGACAAAACCTTTCGTAGCTAGTGAGTCTAGTACAATAGATTCATCGCCTTTAGAAGCTAACGAAGCCATCCTACTTACTTTATCCACCTTAATGTGTAATTATTTATTCACAGCGATATACTTTGATCCAAAGTAGAAAGAGGATTTTGAAATTAGCAGTGTGCAGTGTTTACCTCCGAGTCACTGAGTGGTTCCTGTTTGCGCACCTCCAGCAGTGAGTCGGATGATAAAGGCAGTGTAGGCGTAGTGGCTGGCACTGTTTGATGATCCAGGTCCGTCAGAGTCGGGCCTTCCTCAGCAGGTCGGGAACTGTCATACACGTACTCCTCCTGCGGGTCAACCATCTGGTATGAGTAAAAAAGTTGTATGAGTGTACTCCTCAATTATTACTTTTATTTGGTGATGCATGGGTTGCAATTTGTATCAGTTTGGTTTTTTAATTTGTTATTCATTATTTTTAATTTCAAAGTGGTTAAATTGCCGACTACTGACATTTTAGCTTAAACTACACTTTTTTGGCGGGTAACGGTAGGTTTATGTGGTTACAATGATTTTAGTAGGTGTAAAAGTTGAAATTCACCAGTGACTAATGGAAAAATTATAAACATTAATGTTAGCAAAATGAAAACTGTATGCAATATTTATCACCATACCTGTGTAGTATTTTTTTTTTGGTGTCGCAGAATTCAATATTGGTTATTTATAAGAAATGGATTCTTTTTGAATAGATAACAGTGAAATACAGTTTTATCCAATATTGATAACTGTGTCCTGTGTGTGGGATGTATTACCTGCAGGGTATGTTCCCCCAGTTGGAACAGCATGGCCATCTCCTCGTCACTGGCGCCCATGGCCAGCTGTAGGTCAGACAAGCTGTATGGAGGATCTACCATGGGGTCCTGGTCTGAAGATAGCAGCTGCAAACAACAGTTCAGTCTGAACAACTTCATATTTTGGATAGCAAGACAATGATAAATTTATGAACAACACTTTATGAAGACTTAAAAAAAGAACAAATTTCAGTGATATTTAAGATTTTTTGAAAAATGTTTAGGAAATTTTTTGTGAAGGTTTTGAAAAAAACCTGATTATATAGTCAAAGTTGGATTTTGTAAAATTTATTTTTTTACAACCATGACGAGAATGCCAAGTAACTGAGTTTGTTTTAATGGGAAAAATTTCAGCTAGCTTACAAGGGGGAGTTAGTCTAGCAGCTAATAGGTACATAATAAAATAAATAATATACCTTTTAACGTTGTATGTATACATTCTAGAATAGAACAAACCATTCCATTTTATTTTTTAAGTTGTATCCAGTTTTACAGTAAGCTGAATTGAACCACTCGAACAGTGTGGGCCAACTTTTTAACAACGAAATACTGAAATAACCACCTGCTTGTGAACTATAGCATGTTTAATTTCAGATCAACAATCACAGTAGCAGAACCTAACTATATAACTATAGCACACCCTGTGAATAGCTCATTCAACGTTCTTTAAAAAAAATCTGCTGGTCTATACAATGGAATGTCTACTATCAAAAAGGCAATAGGCCTCTAGACTCATAGTTTACTCAGGGTAGGTACTTTATTGATTTTATCTTATTAAAATCTGTCTCTTAAAAGAATTTATCCGCTAAAATCTGTTTGTTAAAAGAATATCTAGTCTGCTTAAAATATGTTCCTTAAAAGAACTTATCTGCTGAAATCTCTGTCTTAAAAAGGTCTTTAAGTTGATTACAATTTAAATTAGAAAACAAATCAGAATTTGAGCCCACCTTGTTGACTGTGTCGACCATCAGAGTGCCGAGGCTAGACGTGCAGCTGTTATCGTCTAGAGGAGCTCCCTCCCACCACTCAATCCCGAGTCCCCACTCTTCCTTGGCAGGACTACTAGTAGACTCTACCACAGCACCTGGCTCCCCTCCGTCTGACCCGTCCTTCTGTTTCAACTGATGCATCACCTTGGCTACGTTCAATGTCCGCTTCTCCAGATCATTGATGATGTTCCCGATGGACTTGCAGTACTTGACTGGGTCGCTCTCCTCTGACAGGTTGCTTTTATTAACAGCCGCCACTGTAGACTTCAATTTGTGTTCTGCCGTAAGCTGGTGTTCGTACAAGTTGTAGGAAGACTCAAACTTTACATCACAAACAGAACAGTAGAACTTCTTCGCCGTCTCACTCGCCGATTTCGTTTCAGACTCTTCACAAAGTACTTGAGACTTGTTTTTGTTCTCCACAACAGACACTTCCCACCGATTTCTCGACACTCCGACTTCAATTTTCTTTATTTTCTTTGAGAGTTTTTCCTTTAAAAACTGTCTATCTTCCCTACGAGCTATCTTTGGTTTGGTAATTTTACTTATTTTACTGTCCATAATATCGATGTGTTTGTTTTTAAGAAGCTTTTTCAGCTTCAACTTCTTCCTTTTCTTCTTGATTACTTTATCTTTGATGACACTCAACACGATGTCTTCTCTTGAGCTGGTACTACTTGGACTCAGAGGTTTTAGGTTGGTAACTACTTCGTCGTCGGGTTCATGATGCTTGACTGGCTTTTGTTTCAGTGGCTTGGAAGTGGAAGTTCTACTGTCTTCACAAGGGGTTGTAATTGCAGTTAAGCTTTTTGAAACTTCTTTGGTTTTAATACTAGATATATTAACATCTTTAACTGTCTCATTTATGTTATTGCTTACTTTCCAGCCTTCCTCACTCTTCTTCTCATTCTCTTTGACAGCTGTGATATTTGCTCCTTTGACATAATGTTTAATTGTGAGATAATCTTCAATTGACAACTGTTTGGTTTTTACGACTTCTTTAGACTTAACGCTTGAAGGTTTTGATTCATCATTGGGGACATTGACAGAGTTCTTTGTTTGGTCAGAAGATTGTGTATCTGCAGGTTTATCTTTAGGTATTTTATTGGAAGTTGAGCAATCAGTTTTCACAGTCGATGTAGTTGCTGCAGGTTCACCTTCAATTGATTTGGTATTATCAATCACCTTATCTTTCACTGAACTAGGATATCTCGAGGGATTGCTTTCCAAACGTTCCTTCAAATATTTGTTTTGGTATCCTTTAAAGAACTTTGTGAAAATCTTTTTTCTTTTCTTTCTTTTCCTTCTCATCAGTAAGGGTTGGCTAGGTTTGGAGGCAGCTGGACAAGGCACAGGGTTCTCTGATTCTTCCATGATTTCTGCACTTCCAATACTGACATTATAAATAATTTCATCAATTTTTGTCCAATCTACTTCTCTACTGATTGCTATTGCATCATGATTTTGACTTAGAACACTCTCTATTGCTTCTTGTATATGCTCCTCAGTTCCTTCATTTGAAAGGGCTTCCTGCGAGGAGCTTGGATTAGGTTTTATTACTTCAGAGGATAAAAAATCTACCTTATCATTTTCAATTACTTTTCTATCTAAAATGCCTGTTTCTTTGGAATAAAAACTGTTAGAATCTTCAGATGTACTACATCCTATTGTTTTCTTAATCACTGTATCAATTGCTTCTTTGATGTGCTGATCTGTTTCTTCAGTAATACTTTTAAACCTTGGGCGACCAGGTTTCCTTTTAACCATCGTTATATCTTGAGCCTGTGATATATTTTCTGACAGATATTCTTCTTTTTCGATTTTTATAGGTTTTTCCACAGTAGCCTCTACTTTATCATCAGGATTCTTCTTACTTGCACAGTTTTCATTGTTTAAAATAATTGAGTTTCTAACATCCTGCTTGTTTTCTGTTATAATTTTTGGACGAGGTGGTCTTCCAGGTTTCCTTTTTTGTACAACAGGTGGTTCTTGTTTTATTTCCTTTTGAAGATCAAATACTATTTTATCTTTGGTTACATTAGAGCTTTGGTCAAAACCCTCTGTTGAGACTTCTTTTGTTGTATTCTCCGGGGGAATTTCAAAAAAATCTGCAGGCTCAGTACTTGACATCATGTCATCATTTCCGATTGAATTTGTACGTCTGGTAGATTTTCTGTCAGAGCTTTGTACAAAAGCCTGAATATCCTGGAGATCAGACAGATCAGAAATAACAGAATCAATATCTGCATAGTCAGAATGATTGATAGTGGGCACAATTTGTCTTCGTGAACGTACAGACCTAAAACTCAACTCTGAATTGGAACAAATCCGTTTCCGCTTTCCAACAGCTACAGCTCCTTCTTTTTGTAGTTTTTCAAATTCATTCATAAGCATCAGAAAATTGGATCTCTTTTTCCTTTTCATCTGATTTTTCTTAATGAGAGCATTAGTCATTTTCAACCCAGGTTTGCGAAGACCAACTTTAGTACTCACTAGTTTATTGGTGATTTTCACTTTGAGCTTACGTTTTCTACCACGTCGTTTTATTTCTTTGAATATTTCAGTAACTTTCTTGTTCCTCTGGTCACTGCCAGGTGACTTTACAAGAGGGGTTGTTTTCGGTGTTTCTACGCTAGAAACAACAGATTTTTCCACCTTCTCTTCTAGTGTCTGGTCATCAGCTGATTTAACCTTCTTCACATTTGGTTCTTTCTTTTTACCAGAAACTTCATTCTTGTCAGAGCCTAAGGATTTGAAGTACTTGTGGTGGTACTGTGAGATGTCAAAGCTCTCATCACTGACAAGGCTGACTGTAGCATCCACCAGGGACATTCTCCTCACAGTCTCGTCTCTGGAGATATCCACAGGTGACAAGATAGGTATGTCCTCCACACTGTCTCCTAGCACCTCTGCCACCGGCTCCTCAGGACACAGCTGTGGCATCGCAGGTTCCTCTGAGCGACTACAGTTGTGCTTCAACAAGGCCATCAGGTACGGGAACACGCAGCCGCACTGAGTGCACTTGTTGGTTTGCTTGTCTTCGCTGTTCTTATCCTCTTTCCAGTACACACACTTCTTTTTGTGTCTGTGGCAGGAGGAGGCGTTGTCAAACTGCATTCCACATCCGTTACATATTATCAACTCAGAATCGTTTTCTGGTTTCTTCACATCCCACACAGGCTCTGTTTTGATTTGTTTTTCTTCTGTTTTTGCTTTCTTTCTTTTGTCAGCTTTTGTGACCATCCTGTTCTCGATTTTGTCACTAGATTCTAGCATGGCTTCCCTCATAGCTGCGAGTATTTTTGAAGTTTCTATCGGCTCATCGTCAACTAGCTCCTTTTCTTTCTCATGCTCTTCTGTACTCTCTCTAACCACACGGATCATCTGGAGACTGGTGAGAATGTCGGAATGTTGAACCATATTCTCAGCCTCCAGGGGTTGGAATTCCTTCTCTATCGCTTCTTCCTTGATTGGAACACTGTCTAAAGGTTCTGTTTTGATTTTTATTTCTTTGTTTCGGGTCTTTTCTTCTTGTGGTATGTTTTCTGTTTTCACTTTTTTCTGACTGTTCACTTTGGTGTTGCCTTTTCCCACTTTTGATGCTTTTATAGCAGAGTGTCGTGCTGCACTGGAGTGAGTTGCAAGAGATGATATCGGGACCTGAAACAGAAAGGACTTCATATAATCTCAAGATAACAGACATTAGTATTTATCTTTTCTTCATATAAAACACGCCAAATTTGTTAAAAAACTTTAAAATATCAGAAAATTGTAGATATGGTAGAATTTTAACGAAACAGAACGATTATAAAGTTTTTGTTTTAAAATCTGTATTTGAGTCTCATTTTTTACCTATTTAATAATTTTTTGAAATAAATTTATGCTTTAGCAGTCTCTAAGGTCAAAAAGGTAGGCTACAACGAGACAAACAAAAATTTATTGCCTAATAGTTATTGATTTGAAGTTTTAACAAAACAGACATAAATATACCAAATCACAACACAACATGCAACTAAAAAATGTCATAAAATAAAAAATAAAGTAAAAAATACCATCATAACAACATTGACAAGTGAATTATCAAAAATACCTTGTGGTGTCGATTATGTCGTTTCCTCAATAAGCGGTTCTGCCATAAAAACGAGACATTGTGTTAGACGGGTGCTATTGTGTTTAACTATTCTCTAAAGAGTAGCCAAAATATTGTTTACCTCCCACAATTGTGGTATGCATTGATCTCCTTTTAAAAATTATGAGTGAATCAGAGTTTACAGTTTTTAACGGAACATTTAAAACCCTCAATAGTTTTTTTAAACTCTAAACCTAGTATTTCAATGTTGAAGATTTTATTTTCTTTAGAGTTTCAAAAATAGTTAATTGAATAAAAACATCTTTAAAACTTACACTGTTGATTGTAGCTTGACTTCGAGTTTTTATCTCCAAATCCTCCCCGATTGCACGTCGAGTACGTTTTGCCGGAAGATTTGCTATCATCTTCTGGATTGTGTCCACTGCAAAAATACAAAAACTTAATGACTGTTTTAAACAATACCATGCAATTTACTGTCCTGCAACAAATTTAAGTAAATTCATCCAGTTTTGTAAGATCTTTTAGATTATCAAAAAGTCACGTAAAAATCTCTTTTAAAAACTAACTCCTGTATCATTAGCACTGATACTACTGATTAATGTAATAATTTTTTGTGCTCTTTCAGGTTTCATATTTAGGGGAAGATGCTTGACTGGGATTACAGACTTCATTTTTGATTGATTGACTAATGCTAGTGACTGGGATTGCAGACTAGGGGGCGGTTCACGAGCTCGGGACTATCGTAGTCCGAGCCCAGAATCCGGAAATAACCGGTATTTGGGCCGCGACTTAAAAAATCGGGTTCACGAGCTCGAGACTATATAAGCCGCGGACCAAACTGATAGGCGGCACACAATTAGTGCAGGGATAAAACCCGGTTTTAAAAGTTGGGTTCACGAGTCCAATTACAGATAGTCCCGGCTCTGATCATTAGTCCCGGTGGGTTCACGAGTCAAGTCCGAGCCCAAATGAGATGGTTCGGGCCCAAAAGAACAATGGTGTTTGGTCTCCAACTCAGACCTGGTAGGAGGCAGGTTTAACGTGACATGATGCCGGTTTTATCTAATTAGCTCCTTTATTTTTATTATTTGTTAAAAACTAATGTTTAAATATGGTTCCTCATTAAATTCCGAACAGTTTCATTACCCACAACACCATATTTGAAAAATATGTAAAAATGGTAAAAAGGCTCATAAAACATGAAAAAAAATCATCAAACAACTTAAAACGACAGATAAATTATGCACGTAACAAAGTAGTATCATAACAAAGATATTTTACTGATAAAACCCATGTTATTACAATTTTAACGACAAAATTATGCGTAGAATATAAATATAACTAATCAGCCACAGCTCCAACATAATTATCAGAAATAATTTTTTGCCGTGGGAAACATCAAGCAAACCGTCAGTCGTTGAGTACGGTTCGCGGTGATATCACTGTCTTGTGTTGTACTCACTGGTCGCCGTGTGTATTGAATATGACTATGAAATAGCTATACTGTATTATGTTAACAATTATGTACAATCACTCCACTTCCTCGCATAAGACCAGCTCGTTATCATGACTAAACCCTTTTATGACTTGATGAATTTAAAAATAGATTAAAATGTTCCAAAGATACCGTCAATGAGTCATTTGAGGCGTTCATTCCAAGGCACGGATTTCCCGACAGCAAAATCCATTAGAGTATTCTAAATTGGAAAAAAATGTCAGTTGCACTAATGTTTTTGGCTGATGGCACTTTTCATCGAGAAACTGGTGATTTATTGGATGTTAGTAAAGTTTGGATGGTAGCTATTTGTTTGGTAATGAAAGCAGAACAAATACAATTTTCAGTTCGAAGCTATGCCCAAAGAAAAAAAAACTATGTTTTCCTACTAGTAAATATAATATAATACTAGTAAACCCTTCCTACCAAGTAAATATAAACACATTGTAATGAAACTGATTTTAAAAATCGCAACAACACAAAATGTAAATTAAAAACCATAGCTGTTAACATAAATAATATTACGAGCTAATTGCAGAATATTATTTTCAACATTTTACAGTTAGATTATTATAGAGTGGAAGAATAACGGAAATAATATTCTTTGTTTACAGCCACGATTAAATCCAGCAAACACATACGATTTTTATATCTAATAATCAGTACCTCTAAATACATTTTAGTTTCAATAATTGTACCATTTAAATAAGTTTAGTTAAAATTATCCTATCCAAAAATCACCATCCCTAATTATCGGGAATTTATGCAAAATAGGCATTCATACGGTTATAAATAGACCTACCCGGTTATTTTATGTCATGCATCTTAATTGAATTATAATAATGCACACAGAAAAATATATTTCACTAAAGACTTCCATTTTCTGATGTCATACAACCGTGGATTGTTGTGTTTATAAATCAATAAACTTAGATCAATAGGCGAGCATTGGGGCAATGAAATACGGGGAAAAATAATCGTTATGGACGTTTTGGTTCAGCCTTTTTTCACGATCATCCTATTGTATGGAAGTGCGTATGTCAGCAGCAGTGGCTTCACATGTGTTTCCAGACTGTTGTTACTGGTTGTTACCAACGTTTCAACAGAAATTCCCTGCGAATCCCTGTCATAGGCTCCGCTACAGATTTGGTCTCGACCTACACTGGGCCCGGCTTTCACATCATTAGGCTCTGACTCGTGAACCCATTTTTTGGTCGTCGCTTATATAGTCCGGGACCAACGTCTGGTCGCGGACTATGAAGTCCCGAGCTCGTGAACCGCCCCTAGGTTTTTGATGAGAATGGTGCATTGAGCACAAGGGCATAGGTTTTTAGGTTTTTTTTGAGAGGATAACAGGATTATCTTAAAGGGAAAGAGTCCAAACTGGCTTAAGAGAGCATTTTTAACTTTAACTAAGGAAGAAATAGTTTTCTATTTCAGGTCCAATGTTCTTCAGGTGTATAGTTTATTTTTGATTGATTGATATACGTACTATCGCCAGGCTTGGTGCGGATGCGACCGCAGGAGTGTTTGGCCGGTGTGTTGGGGATATTCCGCTTGAGCATGCGCCTGCCTTGATGTTTGCGCCGACGAGACCCGAACCTCCACTTGCGTCGACGTCCACCTGACGCTCCAACAAGGCTTTGCCAGCTGCAACAAACAGATTATTGTGTATTCGCTTGGACACAGATGTTGTAAAGATATTCTTTTTATTGAAGAAAGTTTGGAAGTTGTATTTTTCCATCTTACTTATTGAGGATTATCTTATAAATAAATACTACTGTATTATTTATTTACCTCTATGATTATATTATTTTTTGTAACACTAAACATATATTCTTGTAGTTGTTTGCCATTACAAAGAAAAATAGCCTTTAAAACATATTTTGACATTCAAAAAAGTATTTTTTTAGTTTAATTGTTTTCACATTACAGGTTACGATCCACCAAAAAAAGAATTAGAAAGGTTACATACAACCAGGATGCACAAACTTTTTTGATATCATGAAAATCAGACCACCCGCTTAATCTCCTGCTCTGAAAACATATGTTTACTCTGGCAATAACTTTATAGGGTCCCCACTCAATAATGCACACATAATTAACAAAATTCAGGGTTGTTTGTAGTTTTTAGTGGTGTTGATAAGATACTAGCGACTGTGAAAGCCTCACTCATAAGTAATGCTTGCACAATCAAAAATTACGTAATGATCATTACGTTGCCATCTCTCGATGGCGGTAGAAAATTAAGATTACACCGTAAATCCAACGAGAATCAATGTATCTTCGAGAGGTGAAATTGGCCCACAATTTGCAGTTTTCACACTTGAGTGGGTACTAAAGTAGTTGATGTGACATACCTAGTGTCTCCGCCGCACTCCAGCATGTGTCTATGTAGGTCGGAGAGGACAGTAGATTGACGACCACACTTGCTGCATGACAGTGGCGCTGTGAGAGGCGCAGGAGTGGTGTACTCTACTGGCGTCTGCGGCGGCAACCGACGATAGTAGAACTGACAACACCATCCACTCATATAATAACCGTAGTAATACAAGTAAATTCCATTACTAGGGCCTGAAGTGAACCTTTTTGAATAAAAACTTGTGCTTGTGTGAGCAAGGATTGAAATTACATTTTTGGCCTGCATAATAAACTTTTTTGTTACTATACTACTTTGAGAATGGAAAAATGGATCCCGTGGCCCTTTAATATGTGATTTCCAGAGACTTCCATGACCCCATACTAGAATCAGTGGTTTTTTAGAGACTTTCATCCCAAAACAGAATTAGAGACTTATCACTGACTTCATGACCCCAAAAACAATCGGCGACTTTCCAAGAGCTCAGTGACTCCCCAATAGAATCAGTTTGTTTTCAGATTTCCGTGATCCCCCATTACAATCAGTGACTTTTCACAGACTTGTGTGATCAGTGAGTTTTCAGTAACTTACCCAGTCCCAGGCAGAGCTCTGTTCGTGCACTATCTCCACATGGGGCACCCACACGTTGGGATGTTGAGCGTACTTGTGGTCCTCTACTTCCCACAGACAGGTTGTTGTGAAGCCACACACAGAACACAGGAACCTACGTGGTCGAACCCACTCTCCACTCAACACCGAGTTTCCACCTTCTGTAAAGTTCATACATTTATACTAGTAAACACAACAGTACCACAACAGCCATATAATAAGTTAGAGCTGTCAAACAGTTTCCCTGCAAGATTGTCTCTGGTAAAATTGTCCTACATTCCAAAAATTAGGAACTTTGAACATATTATGTTTGAAACATAAATTACTGTAGGAAAGTAAAATAATACTAGCTTATATTGATTTAACCATAAAGAATTAGGCCTCCTCATTAAAAATTATGGGTTTAAATTTTGTATAGACAATGCTTTCACTTTATCATTCATTTACCTCTAAAATCCCCACCATTCAACAGATAAAAAAGGAATTTTTTCACAGGCAAAATAACTGTAGGTTATTTATCTTTTATGTTAATTTCTACAACCTCATCCTACCAAATGACAGTTTTAGATTCAGTCAAAAGTAAACAAGAGTATCATTGCAGTTTTAACGTTAAACATTTTAAAATACAATTAGGCCTACCGGTATTTAAGTATTTTCACTAGAGCAAATAGAAATATTTCATTAGTAAAATTTTAAACGCATCTCTTACAGATTTGAATTTTATTTTGAAATTATAATCGATACAAGTATGTGGAGATAAATTTTGAATCGGATCTCCTATGCACAAATGCTAATATAAGATTTGTTTAAATTTTTTCATGGTGTTCAATCTTTCTCCAAGTGGATTTTACGATAATGAAAAGATGAAGTGTCCAGTCAAAATTGATCACAGTTTACCATATGTTTAAATCTATTCTAAAATATTTCCTTTTGTAAAAATGTATTTTGTAGATTACCTTTGTCCTTGTCAGTGTCAGGTTCACCAAAGGCCTCAGCACAGTCGGGCACAGGTCTCTCCACCAGCAGCAGGCCAGCTGGGATGTTAGCAGGGGACTCCTTGTTGGCCTCCTGCCCAGCCATGGAGTTAAGCCTCTGAAGATTCCTTCTCATGGTCAACTGAGTTGATATGTCCAAGTGAGACATGTCCTTGATGTACGAGGTCAAGCCACAACGTCCGTCATAATTCTTTGGGAAACTGAACTTCTCCCAAGGAGCTCTAGGACTGATCGGTATAGTCTTTGCCTCTTTCTGCTGCACTGGTGTGCTGGTGGCCTCAGGTTCGTCCGCAGGCACTGTAGGTGAAGAGAACGACGCACCCGCAGAGAAATTGAGCACTTTGTTCTTCCCTTCGGCGGAAGAAGCCTTGTTCAGGTCATACTCCATGACCTCTTGTGAGTCTAACTTCCCATCCAAGTGGTGCGTCAGGTTCTCACGGATGTTGTGAGCGATTGTACTGTAGAATAGCAGCTCCGGGTCGGGTGGTGGAGTAGGAGTGGGTTGTGGAACTGAGGGAGTCAATATAGGAGGCGGCGGAGTTGGTGTCTTTCTATTATCTAAGGCTCTTTCCTTAGCGTAATCTTTCTTTAATACTTTCTTCTTCTTTTTCAGTCTGTGGGCTATCCTTCGGTGTCTTGTCATGTTCAAAAAGCATGCAAACATTTTTGGGCACTCAGTACACTTAAGAACTAAGTTAGGATTGTTATTGTGTTCGAGGGCCTTTTCTGTCTCTCCCGACAATCGAGATTCAACACTCTCTTCTTGACCTTGGGGTTTGTTTGCAAGTTTTTGCTGAATCAACAGTTTTTTAGCAGTTCCCAAAGTCTTGTGGTTTTCCTTGTTGTGTTTCTTGTACTCTTCTCTAGTACCAAACCTCAGTTTACAAGACAGGCATCCTATGTACTCATCCGGATGGTGTAGAAGAAGATGTTTGAACACTCCCAATCTCTCTTTGAACATTTTCGTCTTGCACAGGTAACACTGATGTAGTTTTTTCTTCGGGTGGTGCAACTGCAAATGGTGTTTCTTTTTTTGTAAAAATGTGGGAAAACTTTTTTCACAATAAAGGCAATAGTGGATAGTAGTGTCTTCAAGTTCCGGTTCAACTTCTTTACCGCACATCTCCTTATGCCGAAGGAACAATTTCTTTTTTTGGTAACGAGCTTTGCAATTGGGACACGAGTAGTTTTTGAACTGGTCATCGTTCAAGTTTTGCACGGACACAGGTAGATGATCCATGAGGTGTTGTTGGAGATCATCTCTCAGCATATAACATTTACCGCACGTGTGACATCTGTATAGGTCAGGAATGTCGTTGGGTGGGGAAAGGTTCGAGACAACCGGAGGACTGTCTTCTTTAATTATCTTCTTCTTCCCACCTAACTTTTCAATACTAGGATCAAACAGAATCCCACAGTTGTGCAAGTCCCTTTTAGAAATATGCTTGTAGTTAATGTGTGTTTTCAGGTAGTGTCGCTTTAGACTGAAGCCTCTATTGTAAACGCCCAAACATATATCACAAGTATACACCTTCTGCCCGTCGTGTAGTTCTATCACTTGTTTGGAATCCACTTGGAATGAAAACTTTGTCATATTATCGCTATTGTCAATTTCCGCTAACAGTTGAAGTGAAGGCACTTGATTATTACTAGATTTTTTCTTCTTCTTCTTGGTGAGGTCGGAGGTAAGGCCCACAGCTTTGTCCAGTGATTGCATGATCTGAAGAAATGCAGTAGCTCCAGCAGCAGCTCCAGTCGTGGGGTCGGCCTGTCCGTTGCTGGGCAAAGGCTGCTCAACCTGCCAGCAAACACAAATACTTGTAATAACAAGAAAATACAGAATAGTAAATTATTTTGTAAATATTAGAATATAATAGAATTGTATCAGATGGTAGTGTTAAAAACATTTTTATAAAACACTTTAAACACAAAAAATTGAATATCTTTTTATAATTGGAGAGAGAGAAACAAACTTGTTTAAAGATGTTTATTTTTCTTTACTTTGTTAAAAGACAGCTGACACTTTAAATTGATGATAACATTGTAAACTGAAGTAACATTCTTTATTAGGCTAAAGAACTTGATTGATCATGACCGAGTTGTTATCATGTTCTATTTTGAGTATTGTTTTTTTAAAAGTATAGTCTTGTCTGGAAACAGCAAAAACATTAATTAAGCTGCTTCAAAAAAGTTGTATTGACAGTCAAGAAAAAGAAGACAAGAATCTACCTTTTTACTATTTTTTCCCAATTGCTTATAGAAAATCATAATGTTAACAAAGGAAACATTTTTCTTAAAGAAAGTAGTCTTTACAAGTTATAAGTTAAAATTTACAAGTAACTAACCTCAACAGAAGTGCCGAGTTTCTTGAGTCTGTTGATGACGGGTGGAGGTATGGTAGGTTTATCACAGCTAGTGGAGTCTAGCAGAAGGTTCTGCAGAATGTTGTCTTCTGTAGAGTCACTCTTGGCCAACAACTTGGACACTACTCTGTTCAACACCCCCGTCTGTCCTCTGGTCTTGCTCCTCTTGTATAGCATCTCATCTGCAACAAAACCATAGATGAAACAGACTCCACAGATTCACCATTCTGTACCTAAAGACAACAAGGTTACTCCTGCTCAGTTCACTTTAGATAAGCACTCTACCTACTACGAGGACGAAACGTCATCTCGTAGTAACACAGCAACTTTCAGTCATGTGTTCGTCTAGTACGAAATACAAGATTCTTTTTATAAAAAAATACACCAATGTGTACCTTACAATAGTTTCAGGATTTACTATGGAAATTTCCCCCACAAGACCACAAAGTCTGACTGCTGGAAAAAAATTCTTAGGCACTCATAGCGGAGTTTCTGCTATACATAAGTTTACGAATAATAAAGAGGGAAAACACTGTTTTGTCTATGTGCATAATTTATATTTTACCCTTTATCAGGTAGATATCAGAATATATTGGTGATTTAGATATGAAAAAATAAATAATGTAGGCTATACATAGTTTGTCGTGTAAGAGTGGGTTCTTTAATTTATTATTAGTGTTTCTTGGTATTGGTTATTTTGTTATGTTTGTTGTTTAGTTTACTTATTTTAACTATATACATTGTAAAAAAAGAGTATCCTGCAATATTACAACCAACAGGAAAGCATAAATTTTAAAATATACCCATAATGAATGATTGATATATAGTGAAAAAATAAAAATAAAAATAAATAGAACCATCTTTTTGAGACTAAACTTTTGATCAAGAAATTAATAGTATATTACGTTACTAGTCCTGAAAATAAGTGTTTACCGGATGAGTGTGGTCACGGGATCACTATACGAGTCCGATACACACATTTTAGACGAGTAGATAGTTTACGCCATACTACTAAATCTGTACAAATCCTTATATTACCACAAACTAAAGGACTAAAAGTCATAACCTCTACAAGAGACTATGTTTTTATTTACAACCACTCATTGCCACCCAAATACAGTATAATCAGCTGATTGGTGTCCGGTAAAACTCATTACAGTACATTAGTACGTAATGAAACCCCCATTTGATTAAGGTGGCGGCAAACAGCTGTTTTCTGGACTAAATACTTGCGTGGGAAGTTCCTCAAATTAGTTAAGTGTGGCGTAATAGTATATTACGTTACTAGTCCTGAAAATAAGTGTTTGCCAGACGAGTGTGGTCGTACCCGTGCAAGACGAAGTCGAGACCATACGAGTCCGGTAAAACATTTTGGACGAGTGACGTACGATAGTTTACGTCATACTACTAAATCTGTACAAATCCTTATATAATACCACCAACTAAAGGACTAAAAATACTAGTCATATGTTTTTGTTTATAACTAATTATTGCCACCCAAATACAGTATAACTGATTTGTGTCAAGAGCTGATTGGTGTTCGGTAAAACTCATTACAGTACAGTAGTACGTAATGAAACCCTATATTTTCATACTTAACTCTGAATAATAAATTAAATTGATACACTAGATTCTTATGTTTACCATTTGAATAACATGTATTAATTGACTACAGTATCCAATAGTCAATGGTTTACCTTACTGGGACCAATTTGCAAATAAATTGATAAATTTGTGATACAGGAGAAGACGAATTCATCCCTTGACAGGAAAAGTAGATTTTACAACTCCAGTGACTAATTAAATATCTGCCTGAGAGTGTAACAGGGTAGTAAGGCAAAATGCCAGCCATAAGACTGTTGCTCCCATCCAATGATACACTTTGGCAGACACCTACGTATAATGATGTATACAGTATATTGTGTTTTAACTCGAATAGCCTACCACCCCTGCCACAGCATTCCTGCAGACCAACTAAATTTTCATTTGTTTGATTAGTTCTTTACTCATTAATTCTTTAAAAATATAAGATTCCCTGTTTAAATGACATAAATTATATTTTATATTTTTTTACATGTAAAATATTTGGGCCTAGTATGAAATAAATAAATTTACAAAACTTGATAAACATTTAGGAATTTTATATTAAGAGTTTTATTGGAATTTTCTTCTTAAATATTAGATGTACAATAGCACCTCTAAGTACCTATTAAAGTGCCTACAAAATGGCTTAGAGAAAATTATTTTTTTACATTTATCCGAAAGAATAAAATACTAATAATAGTACAAATTGATAATTTTTTTATAGTTTTGGCATAGTTATTTGCCTCTTTTTAGAACAAAGAGGGGTTAATATTATTATTGTAGAGGACTCCACTCAATTAGGCTACTTCTTTTATGTAGACTATATTTATTGTAGATTTTAAAAATATGGAACTTAACCATCTGCAATCACTAATGAATTAAAGTTTAGGGTTTTAACAAAATATACAAATTAAGTGACAATTTGTTTTTAGACCCATTTTTTTACTTCTTTTAAAAATTTTAACCAAATCACAGTAATAAACTTGTTTACTTGACAGTAAAATTCATACCTAAACAAAATTGCAAGTTTTTAAATTCACATCATGGTTAGAGCTTAAAGTGTATAAGTAAAACTAGACTGATTATTACAGAATTTTACAATCTTAATTATTGGTTGTTGGGTTGGTCATTGTGGCCAAGTCAACCATGATTATACAGGAAGTCTGGAAAATCTACCAAGTTAATCAACCGAAGTGGTTTGTTCAACTTTTTACCTTATTTTATTGACTCGGTTCTGTAGTAGCTTTAATTTTAATGTTACAATTACATGTTGGTTATTATAAAACAATTACAATATTACAGACAAACAGATTGTAGACATATTTTGCTCAGCCATAGGCAGAGTGTTATATTATTGAACCTAAAACTTCAAACTCATGAATAAACAAAACTGTTGCAGACTAAGGCCATTGTTATTTCATTGCCTCCAATTGTGAAATCCTATGAATACTACCACTATATTTTGAACTGTTTATTGAATTCTTTGATTGACATTGCATGTAAAGTAGTTATTACAGTATTGACGTAGTTTTTTAGTTTAAAACACTAAGCACCACACATCGAAGTAAATTTATACAACATGCTTTATCAATAATTAAAATATACACAACTAAAAATATTTTTTTTAGTTAAATCCATATTTTTTATATTATGAGACAACCATTTGACCATTAGTTGAGACAACTATTTCTAGTGTGTTGACTGTATACTATTGAAGTGTACAAGTTATTTTAAAATCAACAATGATTTAACATTATCCAATTTAAATTATTTATGTTGACCAATGTTGTACATTATGCATGTTATCCTGTTCTACACATCAAAGTAATCTTATGAATAAAAATTATATCCTTAGAAACATTTTTACAAAAAGTTATTATAAACAAAAGCTTTTAATTAATTTGTATCATACAATGACCTGTTTTAGGAAGGCCAATGAACTATTTTATAAATGTTTTCATCCTAAAATGAAAATATTAACACATACATTTTAGTAGGCCTATGTTGCATAATTAATTACCTACTACCTACTAAAATTGTTTTAAGTGTCATCATACCCCTATTGAATTATATGTCCAATTTGTACTATTGATGGTATAACTGTTAACTAATCATCGACAAAGTTTTTGCAATAAACCGTACAGCAAAAGCAGTAATTTTATTGAATAAAAGAAAACAGATTAATCAACTGAAGCCTACTTCCCAAAGATACTTCACAATCTGAAAGACTTAGGCCTAAATGTGGCTGACCATGAATCCTAATTTTACAATTGTGCCGTCTTTTCTTTATTATCCAGTTTTATTACACTATTTAGTGTTTACAAATATAACACACAATTTACAGTGCATTTAATCAATAATGTTATCCACCCCTAAAATCTAAGAACTCCGATTCTACCAAACGTCTCCTCAAATTTAACGAAAAACTTAAGCCTATCAGGAATCCCTACAGGGTAATCCCAAAATCTAAATCGGCGGCGAGGCAACAAGTCAAAACAACACACGAATGTAGAAACCCAGAAACGCTAGGCCTCCACGTTACACACGCTGACATACACGTAGACCAAACACGAAGCATACAGTTAGAAGTTACAAGGTGTAGTTGTAGTACTACACACTAATGTAGTGTAAACCCGTAAGTAAAACACGTGTAGGTGTTTACATTGTAATATCCAACATACCGGCAGAGGCTGGCGGGCCGCGTACACACACGGTAGACGACGACGGCAAGCTACTATGGCGCGGGGGGCGGAGCTTAACCGACTCAAAATCGATACTTTGCCAGCAACACGCTGCGCTCGTGCTTCTCGTCGTCAGCACGACCGGTTTATTAGTTAAATCGTTTTTGGACTAGGGGACGTTTTTCGATCGGGGGATACAACGGGTTGTTTATTGATTTAACATCCCCCGCCGTAGAGTAGCGGATGGCCACAACGATGGCAATTGGTTGGCAACGTCTATCGATTTTGCGTTTAAATGGTTTTGAGTCTCAAGACGATGGTACGGTACGAGTTGTATTTGCAAAATTTGTATTTATGCTTGAAAAATATTTATATTACTAATAAATAGGTTTAACACTAAAATATTTTAATTTTATACATATTTACCTGATTGTTAAAATTGACTTTGAATATATAACTACACAACCGAATTAAGAGTTTAAAGAATATATATTTTAGAGTAATAAAAAATCTATAAAATGTTTTAATGTGATTTTCTTTAAAATTGTTGACAAAATATGAGCTTTCCGTATAGGACAGGCACACATCCAATCCTTTTGTCTATGCTTATCTTATAGGTAATGGCTACGCACTTTTATGACTTTAATTTGAATGCCAATTTGTCAAATTATTATTTTTCGATATGTTTTTATAAATGCTTTATAAATCCACAGCACATAACCATTGTGTAATAATTTATTTCATCATTGTCCGTTTTCCGGTAATAACCTATATCTATAGATACAATTACTTGCACTGCTAGTTGGCCCTATATTATGTTATTTGTTTAGATTTTATACAAATAATAATACGTTTTGACGTTAGAACTATATTGTATTAAAAAAAAAGAATAATTTTGCCCAATTATATAAGTTTAG